ATATGGTAAAATGGTCACGTAGATTTCAATGGCCTTATCATCTGAAAATACGTTGATCAAAGACCTTGAAATGCGTAAGTCGTGTGAGCTGCTCAGGTTGTGGTAATCCATGCTAATGAATTCAAATCTGTAGGAACATCCCGAAAGTCGTGAGTGGCAGAGTGGGGGACGAATGTGAAGTTTGAATTGAGGGTATTCTTAGATGTGCCTTTTTATAGTTGAGCTGTGGGCTAGCGAAAGATGACCAAATTCGATCCTGGACTTTTTTTACCATTGATCTCGAACACCTAACTAGGCAGCGCCTCGATCATTTCTCGACGCCTAAGCGAGTCGGCGTGCTCGCACAGGCACTACTCGGACATACTATGTATTGTGGGCCCACAGAAGGCCTGGCGGGACTACTATTATGAGACGGAAGGCAGACCACACGGCAGAGGTACAGTTGAAAATCTCCTGGTAGGTCTGTTAGTAAGAGCCAGATTTAATAAAATACTGATAAAATTACACAACAATGCATTTCAGTATCCTCTTGTGTAGTGCATATTTACCAACTTAAGCAAATTCAAATTAATTTCGGCCCATTTAGCCTAGAATTTGTTTTAATGCACGGCGTTGATGTGTGGCGGGTTTATTCCTACCCCAGGTATGACATGTTTCCGGTCTCAGTAGGGCATTTTCGTAGCTATAGTTAGCCAATTTTATCAGTTCGCATAGCTATCAGTGGATCTGCGTAAGGGCCTGTCTATCGTTTCATTTCTATCACCTACGAGATGTAGGCTACTTCGATTTTGTCAGTAAAAGGCGTGCGTTTCCTCCTTTTCGTGTATTTATGTATAGCAATAGATGCTTTTCAACAGCGAAGTCAGGATCGACCAGGGACGAAGTTTTGTTTGTCGTCATATATCGCCAACGTTCTATTGCATTGTTATTGAAGAGCGTTTTTATCCGGTAAACTGGTTATTATTGCAAAAAAAGGAAATTTCTACCTTTTGTTATTTAGAAAACAAAATACACACAAATGCAACTAGAAATTACCAATTCGATAAAGGAGAGAATAAAATATGTGAGTTCTTATGAACTTATTGTTATGGATACTTTAATTTGGACGGGGATCACATTGTTTCTGGAACATGTACAACTCCCTGGCTGCAGTTCTGCTAACTTGATTTTACCACCTCCAAAGATCCTGCCCCGCTTCCCTGTTGACGTGGAAGGAAAGTAATGGTTTCGCAGATAATTTGAATAAGAATCTTCATTCAGTAGATCGTGAATGTTAGAAAATTCTTTAGGGCTTGAACTCGATGCTCTTGTTTGCGTTCCGCTTGACTAACAGGATTTCCAGTTGCATTTATTTATTTGTTTTAGTTCTAAGAACATAAAACCATGGTGAAATGACTTAGTCGCAACAAAATTCATTAGTAGAAACTATTGAGTTTAACAAATAAGGCTTTATTGTAGTTTTCTTACACCACGGCTGATCTCGCATTGGTGGATGAAATACTGAGGGTGATTTTTTGGTTATCAATCAGGACTCTGACCACTTCTGTCATTCTAACATCAAAATTGTCCTCAGATTGAAGTACTGGCATTATTCTTCCCAACCCAGGTGTAATGTATGGGGAAAAACGTGGCAAATAATTTGCATAGTAAACAGACCCAAGGAACAAAAATTACAATTAGAAGTTAAGGAAAAGGAGAATTTTCATGCAGATAACGTGGACATCTTCGTGGCGAAATTTTGATATGGTTTATGGCTAGTGCCGTTTCATTTGTTAATAGCATGCAGACGAAGGACGTCCGCCGAAGGTAGACGTCATCGTCGAAGGCATTGCATCCTCACTCCTCCGGCTAAGGAGTTGGCAGAAATCAAGCACATGGATGAGGTGCAAATGCTGAAGAATTTGCACTCACCGATTTCCCTGCCATCATGCCCAGCTGATGCCTGATCGGCTGGAGCCTTACCACAATTCTACTTGGTTGAATGACATGCTGGCGCCGACTTCTGAGCACCACAACTCCCTGATAAATAATGATAAAATCACGATTAATGTCTACAGTGGAGTTTAATTTGATTTTTAGAGTAGTTTCTTTACCAACTGGGTAGACCCTAATCGCGTAACTTTTTCTGGAATGATAACAGCGCAGTTAGTACGGCCGTGGTGAAAGTGATAGTTCCCCGTTGTTGATTTCGCACTGCTTTGCAACGATGGGTGAATGTGCTTTTAAGTTTAGTAAGTAAAGCGTGCTAATTCCCTGTAGGTCAAGTAAACAGCGCGTATTCACGTCAGCTCCCCCTATTTCGGGACAAGCTGCTCTCTATTTTCAAACAGTCGTTTTAACCACTGGTGAATATCCCTTGAAGTAAGAAGGACTTTTGAGGCCAGTTTCTGTCTGATTAGAAATATTTTTATGGAAATGAATAGCTTAAAAAGCCATTTCATTTTTTTCCTGTCATTTTTGCCACTTTCTTGATAAGAAAACAGTCCTTAATACTAAATGCGTTGTACCATCACTGCACATCTCAAGTACGCTATTGCGATGTTTGGCAAATGACAGCGTGCAGTAGAACTGGGCACCATTGTTTCTTATTACCTTGTTTGCATCTAAGCATATTTGCAGTTTTGCATGCACATAATGAAACCGTTGACTCTGTTGGACGTTTTTTTTCGTTAAAGTAAAGACAATGTCATTAGAGTTTAAAATGGGCTCATCTGACGTGGGCGTGCGGTTTACGTTGTAGCAGTGCCAGGATAAGGGTCAAGGTCCCATTAACTGCGTAAAAGGAAACAACATTTGCTATATAAAAGAATCGGGGGCGACACCCACCGTTGAGTAGCCAGTTTGGCAGCCGCTCATGTGTCCTTTTTGTCATTACCACACGATTAGAGGAGTACTTTGACGGCATATAACTATTTTGTTTCAGTAGTATGAATAAATGTTCTCATAGGGCACATGGCATTCATGCGGGTTGTGATTCCAGAGCCTGACTCTACAGATTCGCTTGCTGGTGTCTGTGGCAGCGACCTTCGAGAAGTAAGAATCTACGCCATCGTCCCACTCACTGACGAAAAAATCGCCAACACGATGTTTCCTCAGTAGCAAGGCTCTCCCTAAGGCAGCAAGGGGCTGCAATCAATCAGGCTCAATTGTGTGCACACTATCTCTGCTTTCCCTAACTTCTTCGCTGGATTTGCTGCTGAGGTGCACGTTTGCGGCTTTTGAGTACCCAATGTTTCCATCACTATTCTACAAGGAATGCGAAAAGAGCAGTTTGAGTAAGAAGAAGAAGATACTCTGATCTTTCGAGAAGGTCTCGGGATGCTGCATTGGTGGCAGGGGAAAGCGGACTCGATCATAAATAACATCCAACATGATTTTCACCGCTAAATGGTAAAACTTGGCGGGGTGGAAGCAGTGCATTTACTATGGATGGGAGAATCCGTGACGATCCCAAACAGAAGGCTGAAAATGACGTCTACTTTCTGCAACCGCTCCATCTTCGCGTTCTGCAGAGAGGCTATTAACGACGGAAGCGACACTAGCCATGCACCATCTGGTGAAGTACAATGGGGGAGCTCTAGGTGGGCCGTTACCGGAACCGAACGTTAGACAAACGACCAAGGTACAACAGAAAGGGCTCGTTAAAGGAAATAACTATGCTCAGGCGATTTTAGCTACTTCATTAAAAGCCAAACCATTTCCATAGTTTAGGCTGATATAGGATTAAAAAGAACAGGAAAGTTGTCACACACAAATCTGGGAAAACACATAAAGTGGTGGCTTATTAATTTGCTGATCCTTTCGATGGAGTCGACAAAGTAACTTGAATGCCACACACACAGCAAGGTTGACAGCCGACACACACTCGCATGTGGAAGTATGAGCGTTGAGAGTAGGAAGAGGTTCGTGGTCTCGCTCAGTCCAGTGGAAGGGTACTCTATCTCTGCTGATGAATACGCCTAACTGAAACCACTGAGATGCAACTCACAGGTACACCCGTTCTTCCATAGTGTCAGCTGCATGGCCACCAGGCACGTACACGCTGATTTCCCTCCTTTTTTTCTCACTCAATGCGTGGGTCAAAAAAAGACATCCGCTTTTTTGGCTTTATCCATCGCTTATCTGGCTGCAGACCTCGATTGAATCCAGGAGCTTGTCCACAGAAACTCCAGTTTATAAAATTAGACAGGCCGGATTCTATCCACATCACACACTTTAAATGAGCGTTTCTCATGCTGATTTTATTAATGAAGCAAAATAAAATGGTAACTTAAAGGGAAACCGTCTATGCGATTCCCCTGAACCGACCATTACACAACGGTTTGACAAATATTCGTTCAACCCTCCCCCTTGATATGTGTAATTGTTCGACATTACGAAGGCTTTCACGCGGAACAGGGACTGGTAAACCTATGGAAATAAGCAGTGCATTTCTAGTAATTAAGCTGAGATAATTTTTCGGCAAGTAGCAAGCACTTGGGATGCTCCAGAATGGAGAGTTTTGTCTATGGGGGTAAAACATTCTGCTAGTTTTGCACAATTCACAAGGCTCCTATTGCTGCGTCCTGTAGCGTCGTAGTGGCTTACGTTTTCTGTGCCCGTAAAAGCAAGAGACGAAATTTGGCTTGAATGTGTCTCGTATGCTACAGGTGAGGAGGTGGGTAAGTTCCCGGACGAAACTGTTTAATTAAACGAATGCCACGCAGAAGATTAATTCTGACCTTCAAAGATTTTTCTACTTCTCAGTTTGAATTGACGCAGCTCTATTTTTGAGTCAGTTGGAAATTGATTGGGTTAAGGTGGTAGTGTTACGAGATTTTGACAAGGCTGTTCGCATTGAGTCAGTCATTACGGCACGAAGATGCGCGAACCAGGGTACACCCAACAGTGGTATAGACGGAAGTAGGTGAAGACCATGCAGGAGGAAAGGATATGCACAACATCTAAAGGGGCCATTTGACAGTGAGGGCGGTAATTGTAAACCGGAATAAGCCTCATCAGCATTTCTGCACAGTTGATGCCGGTCCACACTGACAGATTATTGACGCATTCAATACAAGTTTCGCACCCTCGGTGTGCCACGTAGGGTTT